TAGCATCTTTATTTTGATTTGAAATAAACCTCAGCAGTACACCCTACCCCCCCCAAAAAAAACTTCATCTCTCAAACTCAGCTGATAGTTTGCTATTATATACAGCAAGTGGAGAGTTGGTATAATGTCCTTAAGCAGAGATGAATAATCTCAGCTAGTAGGGAAGGGTTACAGTTTTTCTGCAGCCTATTCCAGACAAGTTTAGACTATTACGCTTATTGTTCTTGAAGAGCCACAAAACAGGCTCTTCGGGAGGGCACCTGGGGACAGACAATCATAATATCCTGAACAGGTTGGTTTTAATTGGCTGTTACTTAGTTATTAGGAAGTTGTATATTACTCAGAGTCAGCTGGCTGGAGCAGAATATAAATCTAAATATATAAATACCGGTAGTCCTTGACTTACCCCCACAACTGAACCTAACATTTCTGTTAATAAGTAGACAGTTAAGTGAGTTTTGTCCCATTTTACCACCTTTCTTGCTACAGTTGTTAAGTGAATCACTGCAGCTGTTAAGTTAGTAACACAGCTGTTAAAGGAATCTGGCTTCCCTATTGACTTTGCTTGTCAAAAGGAGGCAAAAAGCAATCACATGACCCTGGGACACTGCAACCATCCTAAATGAGTCAGTTGCCAAGCAACTGAATTCTGAACATGTGACCATGGGCATACTGCAACAGCTGTATGAAAAGTGGTCATAAGTCACTTTTTCAGTGCCATTGTAACTCTCAAACAGCCCACTAAATGAACTGTTGTAAACTGAGGATTATCTGTACATGCACATGAAAAAATCCCTAAAACTTCAGGAGTATCCCTTCAATTCCTCTACCTAAGCTTTTTATAAATGCTGAACAACAATGAAAACTTGAGCCAAAACCCTATGACCCATTTGTCATTTGGGCTAAAGGTTATTAATTACTTCTTAACAGCAGCATTAACACTTAACAGCAGTATTAATTTACCAACAAGATCAAACTCTATTATGCAATCACTGATTTGGCTTGCTTATCACCCTACATGTGCCTTAAATGCAATCTGGACCTTGTCCCCCAACACCCAGTCAACCTTACTTACCTGTGGCTCTAATCTGCATTCTTTAGCAATCAAAGTCAAATGGGAGGTAAGTATATAATACTGTAGTGCGGGCATGTCAAACTCGCGACGTATCGGAGCTTTTTCGCCATTGCCGAAAAAGCGGCTCCGGTATGATGAAACCGGCCCGTGGGCCGGCAGTTTGACACCCCTGCTGTAGTGTTTTGTCTTGACACCCAGGCAAATTGGGAGAGAAAAGGACTGTCAAGCAGCTGGTCTTTTGGGTTGCCAGGTTGCAGGCAGGCATTTGAGAAGGGTATAACTTGAAATAGACATGAGGAAGCCGAATGGAAGGATACCACTGGGTTCCCCTACATGTGGTAGGCTACAATGCAAAGCATTTTATATTTTAAAAAAAGTGTGAAATCTTGGGATGACTTATGTCATGTTAGTTCTTAGGCTCTCTCTCCCAAATTCTCATCAAGCAGCTGTTTCATAATTCCCTTGTAGAACGGTGCTTGGTAACCACAGCCCTCTGATTAATTAGCAGATCCTTTCTTCCTCACCTTCTGAAGAGGAGGATGCCTGCCTTCTTTCAGCCTGAGAGCACTTCATTTCTGCTCCTTTGCTAGTGAACCACTTTTATGTGGACGGGGGGTTTATTAGCTTGTACCGGAATGACCCAAGACTCTTACTTGCAATGGAGCTAATTCCTTTTGTCCGACTCTTGTCAAGCGCAGGGGAAAATGAACCCAGAGTGTTATTTCCTTCCACTCTGCTTTCAGCTCACTATGACTAATGCAGCTTTGCTTTAATTGGCAAAGAGAAGGCAATCCAATGACTCAGACACCACTATAAACAGTACCGACTCTTTCTAAAGTAAAAGTACCATGGCACCACAAATGACTCCATCAGTTCCTAAGAATTATTACTTATAGCTATGAAGCCACGTTAATTAGATAATGGCTGGCTGCCAACTAATACTGGCATGACCTACTATATCCTTGGCTCACAGCCATGCATGTCTTTCTATCACATTTTTCCCTCTCTGGTAATCTAGATGGGAAGTGGGAAATATTCCCAATTGCTACTTTAATTCTTATCATGAATGAAAAGATTAATTAGAATGTCTTGTCAAAAGGAATGGGTTCTACACGCAAATAAAGAAAAATTCAAAGGGACAAGAGATCAAACCAAGACTATAATTTTAATCTCTTTCTTAGACAATGACTGATTTGAATTTAACGGGGTCCAATTTCAACATGCATTTAGAAAAAGATGCCTCCTTTTCCATGTGCACAAGGCTGTTGTAAAAATCATGAATCCACTTTTTTAAGGAGAAGGAAATAGACCAAGATACATACCATGCATTTTTAATATACAAGATTAGGGACGGAGATTGCAATCTTATCCACCACGTAACTCCCATAGAATTAAATAGGACTCTATATATGCCATTTGATATGCCTGAGTCCACATCCAACTCGCAAGGCTAGTATAAAATATTAATTTATTGCATGTCCTTAAGGATTAATGCATTTAATATTTCTTATCAATTTTGTATTACAATAATCTTATGACCTTCAGTTTTATTCTGCAGCTAAGACAATAAATCTTGTCAAGAAATGGCAAGGAGTTGAATCTGACTGAGATCATCTTTATCAACTTGAAGGAGACATGACTTTGCCAGTAATGATACTTCTGATGATCACTTTGTGATTTGTTTAAGGTGACAATTCATATCAGAACTGGGATATGAAAAAGTACAAATCTCACTAATCCAGTTTCATTGGCTAAGACTGAAAGGAGTTCTGGTCAAAATATTTTGAAGTCACCAAAAAATTAAAAGAGCTTTCTACCCATAATCATCATAAATGCCAAGTAACAGAGGAATTATTAGCTGAATAAGGAAAAAGCAGAGATAAATTTAAAAAATTAAAAAGACCAAAACAATCTACACATACTCCAGACCCAATTCTGGAAGCCTTTGCTGAATGCCTTCTCCTCTTTTCTACATCTTCTAGAGCAGGGATCCCCAATTCCCAGTCTGTGCATCGGCACTGGGCCGTGGCATGCCGGAAATCGGTCTGCACAAACAAGCAAAGCCCCATCTGTGGGGTGCAGACAGTACATGAAACCACGCCCCCTCTGGTCCATAGAAAAACCTCTCTCCACAGAACCGGTCCCTGGTGCCCAAAAGGTTGGGAATCTCTGTTCTAGAGAGAAATGCCTATACTTTTACTGATAGCAAGTATAGACTGTTTACAATCTTCTTATTCCAGGTCATATTGCCAAAATTCAGAAGATGTCATTACGGAAACTGGAGTGAGAATCTTTCACCCGTTTTGGTGTGACAAAACATGTTCAACTTTGATTCCAGTATTAGAGAGGATCTTTTTGACTTTGGGCAACAGATTGGACAAGAAGCGATGGTCTTTTCGACCCCATAGTAACATAATAGCTATTGCAGGTAGAGAATTTAGTCAGAGGCAGGATGCACAACTAGAAAAACTACCAAATACTATGGCAAATGCACGAATGAGGGTAGAAAGGAGTTATGGTGGGAGAATCTTCAGGAGGTTTTGGTGGGAAGAAATCCTGCTGTATTTCCAGACCTTTGGTATAAACCAGGGGTAGGCAACCTTGGCTCTTTTATGACTCGTGGACTTCAACTCCCAGAATTCTTGAGCCAGCATGGCTGGCTCAGGAATTCTGGGAGTTGAAGTCCACGAGTCATAAAAGAGCCAAGGTTGCCTACCCCTGGTATAAACTGACTATCCTGATACAAATTGCATAGTATTTTCTTTCCACATAAAGCATAATTCTTGGATAAAAATCAAATGCATAACAGTAAATTTACATCATTTACATATATGGTGACATAAAAATCAGATACCAATGCATTTCATGACATAAAATATTTTTAATTTAATTGAGGGTTTGACAGCATGCTGATCTTTAGTGTGCCTGGCTTATTTAAGTGTTGAGTCTGTCAACACATTAAGCCTATTGGGAGGCACATAAAACATACCTTACATTATGTACTTTTCAAGCAAAGAAGCTTAAGCAAGCATTCTTTCAAACATTTTCAAGCAATATTACAATTACATATAGCCAAGCAAAAGTGTCCCAGTGACCCTCTCTTAACTTGACAAATCTGGGCTTGTAAACTCTTTTCCTTGACAGATCACTGAACTTGGAAAAAGATTTGCTGAGTGCAGTGTTCTCTTTGATGTTTTGCATTAAATGTTTCCCCTTTCCCCTAATTCCTCTTGCCCCATCTGCGAAGTTAACTTTTCAAGGCAGAATTTACAAAGCACTGGGCAATTTCATCAGCACCATAGCCAAAAGCCTAAATCTTAGCAAGTCACCTCTTTTCTTTAGCAATGCACTCACGTACAAAAAAATAATAATAAAACACCCAAGGAATCCCAGCACTTTGGTAGGGTAAAAATGGAGCCTCACAGAGGTCTTTCAAAGGAAAACTGAACTAGTGAAGCAGAATGAATCATCCTGCTTCTGATTTAGCTTTGAGATGCTTTCTTCCCTAAAGTGCATAGCAATTTGGCTTAGGGTGGTCATATTTTTACATGTTCTTTTTAAAGCACTGGACGAAGGATTCGCTCTGTCCATTGTGCTGCTTGGACCTCTTCCTGCTGCTTTCCCCTCTTCCTTCCTTCTCGTTTGATGTTTCTTTTGCTCCCCGCAGGCTGTTTCCTTTGCCTTTGCTCTCTAACCCTGCAGACCCAAGCATCACATCCTACTCTCCTTCTCAGGATTAAAACACCCTCCAGCAGAGTCTGATTTGAGCAACATGCAGAGCTTTGGGAATTATATTTAAAAACCTTCAGGTTTATCTCACTCCTAAAGCAGTGGGGCACAAAAGAGAGGAGCTTGTTTTCTCTCCTAGCTGCCATGTTTGAAAGGCTGCTTTTAAAATGACTGATGGAACAATGGCATACTATACCTCTTCTGGCAGACTGACAACCAGGTCATTTTCTGTCTGCCCGACTAACATCTGCAAGAAGTATTCGCTGCATGCAGCCAGCACAGCCCGGTGGGCTCGGAATTCTTTGCCCTCCACAATCAAAGTCACATCACAGAGAATATCCTGCTTCCGTTGGTCATTGAGGCATAGGAGGATATTGGTACAATGGACTGTTGACTCATACACATACATGGGGGATTCAGTCTTCTCATCCACAGACATACCGTTCACACCCTAAAAATAGAAGCAACAAACAATAAGGGAGAGATAGAGGGCCAAAGTGAGTTATTACAGTGCTTGCAAAAAAAAAAAAAGGAAGATTACATCATGATTTCTGCACCCTGCATAGTTGAGCCAGTTCTCTGCAGAACTGCTGATCAGCATTTTAATTCTTAGCTACAACAAAGAATTCAAGAAATCTCTTCTCTCTGAAAAGACAATTGCATTATAAGCTTTTTACTCAACCCACTTAGTTGGCTTTTTCTTCTCCACAATGCTGAATGAGAGAGATGGATTTTAAGAAATGTTGAAGGCTATTATTAAACACTGTTTTAATAGTATAAGCTGCCTGGAGAAAAAGGGGATAGGATAGAATATCTGAGACAATCTTTGTAAATCAGAGTATTCAACCTATCGTTTTTAGGTACTTTAGAATTACTGGCGCTTAGTGGCATTATAGGAAAGGGTGGTTGAAATTCTCAATATTACTGTAGGTCTCCAATTTCAAGGGCAAGTTGGTTGTAGATTTTTACATGCAAAACACATATTCCACCCTTTTAAAATGACACATGAGCAGCTCAGATCTTATTAAACTGATTTAGATATTATGATAGCAGAATTATAACTATACCAAAAACCTAAAATAGAACTTGCAAAGATTATCTGTTATCTTATATAAAATCTGAAAAGTAAAGCTGCAATTACTCAGCGAGGCTAATGGAGGAGGTTGAGGGTTAGTGGTTTGCTTAACTACATCTTGAGAGTTTGTAGGAGATGAAACTTGAATTAAGAACTTCCTGGCCCAGAGCAAATGCATTTAGAAACACATATTTAAAATAGGTATCCCTGGAAATAGGTATCATATTTAAAATAGGTATCCCTGGAAATAGGTATCCCTGGAATTCTATGATATCTAGGCTGAGGTAGACCTGAAATGTACTTCTAAATGTAAAACTTTAATAGAAATAAGTACAGATAGTCCTCAAATTATGGCCACAATTGAGCCCAGAATTTATGTTGCTAAGTGAGAAGTTTGTTTTGTTCCATTTTACGACTTTTCTTGCTACATTTGTTAAGTGAATCACTGCACTTGTTAGATTAGTAACACAGTTGTTAAGTGAAACTGGCTCCCCCATTGACTTCGTTTGTCAGAAGGTCACAAAAAGGGATCACATGATCCTAGGACCGTGATGGCGAACCTTTTAGATACCAAGTGCCCAAAAACTGCTCTGCCTGCCCCCACTCCGCCCCATGCCCTGCCCACCTGCAGGGCCACCTACCACCTCCACAGCCTGCTGCAGATCGCCCAGGCGACCCTGCAGCGCCATGGTGGCCACACACCCCGCCTGCGCCCCACAGCAGCATCTGCGCGTGACGGGGCGTGAGGGCAAAGTCTTATTCCTGCTGCCCGGCTACCATGTCCTAGGCTGCACTGCTCCATGCGGGTCGTGCCTGGGGGCAACTCCTCCAGGAGGGCTGCTGGTGAGGAGGGGGCTGCAGGGGGAGGTGGGGCTGGGGCGACGGCACGCGTGCCATAGGTTCACCACCACTGTCCTAGGACATAAATATGAACCAGCTGTCAAGCATCCGAATGTAAACCACATGACCATGAGGATGCTGCAATGGTCATAAGTGTGAAAAATGGTCATCAGTCACTTGTAACTTCGAACGGTCACTAAATGACATTGTTGTAAGTCGAGGACTACCTGTACTTCAATAGAAATAAATACCAGTCACTGGATATAAACTTATAAGCAATCCTGTGATACTGACAAGAGAACAAAATAATAGGAGGCAGATCTTAAGAAGGAGACTGTAGTGTGGCAAAATACATAACATTTAAAAGCTTTACAAAAGAAATATAGCACGAGAATTATTCAAGAACATGTATCAGGAAACACCTGATTTTTTAAACAGGCATCTGCCCAGGGAGTGAATAAATGTGTATTGCAATGCCATGATACAATCTCTACCCTTTTAATACTTGCAATTGTGACACTGCAGGGACACACACGAGAACTAGAGCTTTTATCGCATCACTTCGTACAATGAAATCTCAGTTTGCTGTGGACACCTGTGAAGTCTTGACTGTATTACTGCACTTCGTCTATACAAAATAATATAAAAAGGCTGGATGATTTTCCTCAAAGAAACATTAGGTAGATAAATGGTACAGACCATTTATTATTTGGAGAGGTCTTTATGAAACTGAAACCAACTAATTGAAACTTAGGGAAACTACCATTCGCTTAAATTAATATATATATATATTTATTGGACATAGCCTGGAAAAATTAGGCTTATTTGTTTTACTCTTATTGCTCTATTATCTTCTTTTACAATAGTATTAAAATAGATCCTATTTTTAAAACTGGAGTAAGACTATTAAAAACTATTGCATCATCCTTGTGACTGCACCCTGGCAAAATGACTGAAAATGATTGATACAAGGAAGCTTCCCTATTTGCGAGATGATTGCCATAAAAGGCATAATCAGTTACAAATATTGCCTTAACAAAATCCAACTGACACCTCTTCTAATTGTCCTTCTTCCTTCAAAACAAAATCCATACTCCCTGCTTAGCTTTGTCTTTTTCTTGGGAAATTGGCCTGGAAAACATCAGGCTGCAATTGTTCATCATTTTTATTTTCAAAGAAATGATTTTAGGACAAAAGCGATTCACGGAAGTAAAGGTAATGCTGGAAGGCTAGCAACATCGGGGAGGAGGAGGAGGAGGAGGAGGAGGAGGAGGCTTGGATAAAGAAGTGCAGGCAATGCTTTTCAAATTTGCAGATGATATTAAACTGGGTGGATAGCAAACAAAACTCAATCAACAGAGGTGTAATTTCCAAATCTGGGAGGGGGGGGGAAGAAAGACTCCATGATAGTCCCACTTTATTCTAGTTTGGTCAAACTCCATGCTGAGAATTGCATTCAGCAATTGGCATGGTTTCAGAGAAAGTAAGAGGAGATTTAGGGACTAGAACGTGGGTCCTATGAAGATGGAGTGGGATTTTAGCCTTGAGATGGGGAATATCAGGGGTCCTCAACCTTGGCAACTTTAAGACTTGTGGACTACAACTCCTAGCCAGCTTTGCTGGCTGAGGAATTCTGGGAGTTGTAGTCCACAAGTCTTAAAGTTGCCAAGGTTGAGGACCGCTGGGGAATATGACAGCAGTTTGCAAACATCTGAAACAGCTCATTTTCTTTAAGTCCTCTTTGTTCTTAAGACAGGAAGATAGGATAAAGATGAATGGATTTTAGTTATGGAAAGGCTGATTCTGACTGTAGGGTAGCTCCCAAAATAAGAGTATGAGAATGAATCTGTTTAAAAGAGAGAAAGTATATTTAGATATACTCAAGAGGAGAATAGGCTGCCATTCCTGCACTGGTCAAATGGTTGGATTAAGTGGCTTAAATGACTTCTTCCAGCCCACTGATTCTATGATACCAATAGGAAGACAATTTAAATGCATCATTTGGATTTATTCATGCTTTTCAACCCATGTAAAATTAGCTATATAACTAAAACGTGTAAGTGAAAATAGGCAATAAAAGTTGTTACACATCGTCAGGATAAAGACCAAAAAAGGAAGATGCTCTTTAAAAAAAAGCATTAATAAGATGTGACATCATTTTATAACCAACAGACTGGAAACTAAGTTAAGGAAAAGTTTTTTCTTCTTTTCTTGAAAGTAAATAGTATGAAACAGAATATGTAATTGTCACAGCAGCAAAGATTTCTATTCCTCGAGTCATTTTCTAACCCCCTATCTAATTTCACCTCTTGCTAAGAAGTGTTATTGTGGCTGCTTCCAAAATATTCAGAGGATTCAAACTGGGAATGTTTCAGAGCGACAATGAGGGCTTTCCAGAAAGCAGCACGTTGAACAAAAGACACGTCCACATTTCCGGCTGTCACCAAGATTGAAATGCTGATATCAGGCAACATCATAGTGAGGCTGCCCTAAGAACTTTTAAGTTCAACCAGAAAAGAGAAATCTACCATCCTCTGTGCTAATGACAGTGGCTTCCGGGTAGGTAAGGGGAAACAGCAACCACATATAAATGTTTGATTAGTAATGCAAGCCAAAATCCATGGATAAAAGGGATTGTGGGAAATTAAAATGCAGCCTCCCTTCCCATGGGAAGGCATAAGCAAAGGAATATGCTGAAACATTGACAAGCTGGCTGAGAAGGTCAAGTGCTAACATTGCCTGAACCAGAGCACCTATCAGAATGTATTAGCTAGCAGGACCTTTGGTTTGAAGTCCCAGCAGATGTCAGCACCAGGCTGACTTTGTCTATATCAAAAAAGCTCTTCAAGGTTAGGTCTGGTTAGTGGTTGGATGGAGGAACCCAGGAAACCCTGGGCTGTCACGAAACATCCCAGAAGACAGCTGAGGTAAATTACTTTTGTACCTTCCATGAAACTAGCCAGACACATCCAGGTAATTGGCAGGAGTATTTGAGAGACTCATTCACTTCAGTTACACATCTGGCACAGGAGAGTCAGTATATAATGTTATATAACTGGAGTGAATGAATGAAAGGTTGTTTATTTATGGCAGTTGTATAAAGACTTTTCATACAAATTAACTGGAGGTTGAAGAACATGTTAGAGAAATGTCATACATGTTAGCTTGAATTAAGCAAAGTGTATCCTCTCTGAAATATTTCTGTCACAGTTACGCATGTTTACATAGACTATTTTTAAAGGAAATATGAAACCTATATAATAGATTTTGGAAAAATAAGGAAGAACTATCTAATATGCAAAGAAACTATTTTTTTCTAATTTCATAAGTTAGCTTTGCAGCTTTGTTAAGGCAGAAACAGAACTGTGGAAATAACCGAGGATAAAGCAAACTCTAATTAGATTAATTCATTTATAGTATATTGCTGCCCCACAATGTACTGAAAACCTGTAACTTATCTAATTGAAAGAAAAAGTTCCCACAATAACAGGTATTCACACACAGGTCAGTATATTAATCTATTTCAAAAT